TCTTGCTGGGAGGCGACAGTGCTAACCACCACACCACCGTGCCGCCCTCTGTCAATTCAATTTAATTTTATTTATATAGCGCCACATCACAACAGTTGTCTCACAGCGCTTAATTACAGAATTAATTGTACAGAGTTACAGAAACCCAACTATTTCACTTTTCACATTTTTCACATTTTTCACATTTTTCACATTTTTCACATTTTTCACATTTTTCACATTTTTCCACTTTTCACTTTTTTCACTTTTTTCACAATTTTTCACTTTTTTCACTTTTTTCACTTTTTTCACTTTTTTCACTTTTTTCACTTTTCACTTTTTTTCACTTTTTTCACTTTTTTCACTTTTTTCACTTTTTTCACTTTTCACATTTTTTACATTTTTCACATTTTTCACATTTTTCACATTTTTCACTTTTTCACATTTTTCACATTTTTTACCCTTTTCACATTTTTCACCCTTTTCACATTTTTAACTTATTTCACTTTTTTCACTTTTCACATTTTTTACTTTTTTCACTTTTCCTTCCTTTGATCTCCTCTTTGAACTCGCCCTGAACGTCTTTCAATTCAATTCAATGTTATCTATATAGCTCCACATCACAACAACAGTTATCTTTCCAAACAGAGCAGGTCAGACCTACTCTGAAGTTAACTACAGAAACCCAACAATTTTACTTTTCACATTTTTCACATTTTTGCACTTTTTTAACTTTTTTCACATTTTTCACTTTTTTCACTTTTTTCACATTTTTAACTTTTTTCACATTTTCACATTTGTCACTTTTTTCACTTTTTTCACATTTTTAACTTTTTTCACATTTTCACTTTTTTAACTTTTTTAACTTTTTCATATTTTTCACTTTTTACTTTTTTCACATTTTTCACTTCACATTTTTCACTTCCTTCACTTTTCACATCTTTACTTTTGTCACTTTTCACCTTTTTAACATTTTTACTTTTTTCACTTTTTCCACTTTTCACTTTTTGCACTTTTTTCACATTTTTCACTTTTTCATATTTTTCACTTTTTACTTTTTTCACATTTTCACTTTTTTCACATTTTTCACTTCCTTCACTTTTCACATTTTTTACTTTTTTCACTATTCACCTTTTTAACTTTTTTCACTTTTTTAACTTTTTTAACTTTTTTCACTTCTATCACTTTTTTCACTTTTCACATTTTTTACTTTTTTCACTATTCACCTTTTTTTACTTTTTTCACTTTTTCCATTTTTCACTTTTTTCACATTTTTCATTTTTCACTTTTAACTTTTTTCACTTTCTTCTCTTAGTTTTTTTGTCAGTATTTCACCTTTTCCACATAATCTGAATTTCAAACCCAGTTTTCCTCTCTATGATTCCTTTTTTTCTACTTTTGTTGTCATTTTTCTGTCATTTTGAATCCTGCTAGCATGTGGTCATTTTTTGTTTTCTGGTAAAATTCTGGGTCTGATCTGGACCAGTTTTCTCCCCCCCCCGGTCTGCAGACCCGGATCTGGACCAGTATTCTCCCCCCTCTGGTCTCTGGGTCTGATCTGGACCAGTATTCTCCCCCCTTTGGGTCTGATCTGGACCAGTATTCTCCCCCCTCTGGGTCTGATCTGGACCAGTTTTCTCCCCCCTCTGGGTCTGATCTGGACCAGTTTTCTCCCCCCCCCTGGTTTTCAGACCTGGACCTGGACCAGAACCCGGAGCCGTGGGTCCTGTACGGCGCCCTGCTACTGGTTCCAGTCGCCGTCCTGCTGGTGCTGCTGGGCGCCATGCTGCTAAGGAGCCCCGCCCCCTATGGCCACGCCCCCTAAGGCCCCGCCCACCTCAGGGCCCCGCCCCCTAAGGCCACGCCCCCTCAGAGCCCCGCCCCCTCCTGACCTCCAGCCTTCCTGCCAGCTCATCTCTGCCTGGGTGTTTTTTCCTTCAACTTCAATTACCTTCAACCTCCTGATTTAATTTAAAATGAAGGAAAATCTGTGAAAAAATCTGCTTTTACGATCTTTAGATCAGAA